GCAATCAGACGCTCATCACTCGCCGCTGTTACACACGCCACCTCCATCAAACCCTCGAAAATGTCCCATCTCAATGGCGCAGTAATCGCGATTTTCTCGAGTGCCATACGCGGTGATGACAGACAATGATAAGTATGATAGTGACAGTCTCATCGAAAGCACCCAGCGCAGCGCGAGGCACCGGCGAGCAATTTCCAAGTTCTCGCTTTATACGGAGGCTGTGTTCAAATGGGCAATGAGTGGAAATAAGCAGCGCATCCTCACAGGAGTAATTCGGCACTATCACAGGTTTGCAAATCGATGGACCGGACTTACCATCAATCCGTCTAGTTAGTTACCGAACGAGGCAGACTTGTTCCAGCGAAAGGTCGCGTATGCACTGTGACGAATTAGTTGGAACATGGGGGAAATAAAAAAAAACCTGTTTTTAGCAAACTAGCCGTGCTGATTGCTACGATTGGTCGTTCGATTGCACCCTAGGAATGAGCGTGTGTTGTTGTCTCAGACTCCTTTACTGATGGCGCCACACTCTGTAAACGTGTGCGTTTTCCTACAAAGCTCAGTGGACCGCGAACCCCTCAAGCTCCATATTATGGAATTGCATGTGCAAACTTAAAAGTGTGACTTTGTCGGTACATCCAGACGACCTCGTTCTTTCATTTTTTTTCTTTTGGAAAACTTCCTTTTTTTTCAGAAGTGCACAGTGATGACTACCAGCAGTCAAATAACTTTTACCCACCGACAGAGCAAATCGAAGGATATTGGCACATGATGTGCTGCAGTTTAAAAGGATTGTGTAGTTTTTAACTTTCAACGTATAGAACTGCATTAAACCAAGATGCCAAATTGCTTGCCTGAACATTTTAAGCTCCCTACATTAAAGTGCCTGCGAGAGGAAGGGAATGGTTCGGGAAAAAATCGCTCTTGTGTATGATCAAAGTTTCTCAGAATCGCTCCAAATGCTGAGCCGATTGGGAAATGCTGCGGCACTTTCACTGATCTGGATCTGCCGAGTTGTGTACGCGGGGCTCATAATCACTGACCCACATCTCTAATCTCGCATCTTAACCCAGAGAAACTTGGGACTTCCTCACTTCGCTGTGCCACGGCGAAATAACATTTGGGCCCGGGTATTGTAACCAACCTGAGTGTAACTTAGTACGTAGGGACCGTCTGAAGTTGCCCGCCCGCATGCACCAGCGTCAGGCAAGGGGAATTGTACACCGGGTCTCCCTGCCGCGGCCTGTACACTCGGTGACGCCGCGGGGACAGTGGGTCGACTACCGGAGAATTGGCGGATTTGTGACGAGGGGCTGCAAATTGAGTCGAGGAGCAGGAAGGCGGAAGAGGGTCTTGCGGGGGTTCAAGCCCGGTCGCGTTGTTACTCGAGTGCGCTTGAAAATGTTATTTTCGTCTAATGTTCCTATTTTGTAGCTCTCTTATGAGCTGCCGGGATGTCGTGCATGATTTGGGAAAAAAGCTCTTTCATAAGCCTAAATCTTAAGTTCTTTTCCACTGCGAGTTGGGCCTACATTTGTTTCCTGTGACGTTCAGCGTTCTGAGAAGCAGCTGGCTTCATCACGTCGGGTTGGTTTGGGTTTTATGACGATCACTAAGGGTGACTGACGTAAAAGCGGGATCAAAGCAGTGGAGAAGCAAGATGTTCTGGACAGTTTTTAGAGTGCCGTACTTGATGGCTTTAATTTGATTGGAAGATGACCGGGTTCGATTGAAAATACGCGGAACTTTTATAGTGCTTTGTGCACGCGAGATTAAGGACGATGAAATCATCAGCGACTACATAATTATAGGCGAAACGAGCCACGCAGAATGTTCCTCGATGGGAAAGTAGCTGTATTCCGATTCATTGATTCTGCAAAGCCTTCAATTATAAGCGGTTACAGTTGTGAGTCCTGAATGATGAACGACACAAACACGCACATCCCCGGTGCCTTACTTCGTATAGCACCAATACGAATCCTCGTCTATCGAGCACAATACGATGGCCCTTTTCCAATACTCGACTTGGGCTCCGTCTCAGGTTTCGTTCCCAAAACCCATCCCCGATTGTGGGCCTGAAGCGTTTAAATTAAATTGGATTACTGTAACTTCTGGCTCTCTTGCATCTTATTTGATGTTTTGTGGCACTATTAGACTAATTACTGCGCTCACAGCTTCAAATTCTGCCAGTTAAAAAACAGTTGAAGCCTGAGACGGAGCAGAGGTTGAGTACTGAAAAACGGCCTGTGTCGTATACCTGATTCTGTCATATTCCATAGTATGCGCACTACAACGCCATCTTGTACTGAGTTGTAATTCTCTCCGTCCACTTGCCCCAATTTCTTCCCTCTTGGCGCTCCATATACTCAAATCGACAGATCGCATTAGGACAGATCGTGTCCTAATACTCACCAAAGAGGATGGTCGGTAGAAAGTCCTCTTCAGTTCTGGCTTGCGGGTCATTTAATCTACCGCGGCCTCAGTCTATTCCTTCTAATTCGACAAAGAAAACAGAATGTTCAGTCGTTACCAGACGGCTTAATTCTCTCCGTCCGGGGTTGGGAAATTGCTTGACCTCTTAAATTTCGTCCTACGGTATCATGCCCTTTTTCCCCTGTAAGCCGTTCGAGGCTTGGCGGGACTGGTGGCCTGGGAAGTTGAAAGTGCATTGAAATGCAGTGAGAAGTGCAGGACCTAGAAGGTTTGTTTTTTTTTTAATCCGATTGACTCCGAAACGCTCGAGAAGTAACAAAGTTGACTATATGACTGTTCTTCCACCGTTGTCAAGAAAAAGGTGGTACAGCTTTATCGATTTTTTTTCCATTTTTGTTTGTCGGGCTGAATTTATCTGAAAATACCCGACTTTTTGTCGATTTGAGCTTTAAAATAAGAGAAGGCCAAAGCATACCTCCCAAATGAATTGAGATGCATGGAATGGTGTGCCTCTACATGATTGCCTTTTCGTGACGTGCAGGTTATCCTCGGTTCCTTGTATGTTTAGCGTATGTCTTTGGTGAGATTTCCAGGGTGTATAATTATCTCGCGTATTTCTTGCTTTTAATCGATATAACAGGCAAGCCCAGTCTCCACATTGTGTCACATTAGTGATTCTATGCCGGAACTGTGTCCAACAGGAATGTCGATGACGCGGCCCAATTGGTGATTTGCAACCCGAGCTCAGGCGGTTTCGAGCATGCGGGCAACTAACAACGGCTGATAAAGTCTGCTACCACCAAGAGTCTCAGATGCCTTTTTTGAGTCACAAAAATTTGCTTAGGAACGGCACGGCTGAAATAATCGGTTGAAGTGGCATCCTTTTACGTGCATTGGGGATTTGAGAAGTTTGCCCTGCGCACTGCAGAGATGACGATGTGGTATTGTTACATTTTGTGCCAATATTCAACCACCACAAGTATGCACACAACTTACAGCCCGGCAGGCGTTGTGCCGTGTGCAGAGCATAGACGACACACCAGTTTACTCAGAGAGAAAGGTACCCTTTCCCTATGGTTCTCGGCACCATGCAGTTATGAAAGCCAAAATCAGCCAAAAGGCAACAGTCGAGGAAAGTGACAGATTCGAGTCCCGGGGGGGACCTTCATTTCATTCGTAGTGATTAATTTTGGGATTTAGAAAGAGAGACTGAAAGTGATAGGGCCCCACGGCGTGATTATTCCAGACCCTCTGGGCTTATAGTCGAGAAGGATCGTGGTACTCAACGGGCCGTCAGTTCCGAGGCTAAAAGAGGTAATTTTGAAGATCACTCACAGCTCGAGAGAGAGGGGAAAAATACCCATCCATCATTTTACAGAGAGAAAGAAATCTTACTGAAAACCTTTTGCTCTAGACGTCAACGCGAAAAAAAGCTTTAGCCACGTCTGCATTCGGGATGTTTTGGCTGTGCCTTAAAAGTTCAAGCAATAGATGCGTCTCGGAAGAAATAGCCCTAACAAAAAGTCCCCTTATCAGATGCCTTATCACGGGTAACAAAATCCGCTGCGTTTGTATCCCGCAATAAACAAAACGACTCTAAAGGCGCCTTTCCATTATGTTGGTTTCAGGGAGCGTTGCGTGTACACGATGCGTTCGTGCGTTTCACTTTCACATACACAAAAATCGACTACATTAACATAACACGCGTGTGCGTTGCGTTCGGCCTTCAAAATTGCACCGGGGGCGATTTGGACAGATAGGCAACGCTTGGCGCAAGTGTTGACGCGCATATGGAAAGATGCCTTTATTCTGCTCGCCCCTTGTGGCCTGAGGAAGACTTTCAAAGTGTACAAACACCGCAGAACTGCGGCGCTGAATTGAAACCATGTGGTAGGCAATTTTGCAGTGTAGTTTTTTTCTGTAATGTGACTAGCTTGGGAAAGTTTGATCGGAGTGGAGTCGAAGATTCATTAAATTTTGTGATCCGGATTCGGTTCCCATTATCATTCACGTGGAACTTATCTTAAGGCTCCACCAGATTCCACGAGCGTTTTCAAGGTTTGTCTTTTTTTAGGCGAAGGTTTTGGAGTGTTTCGTTTTTTGTGTTTGTGCCCTTTGCGGTTGCCTGATATAACACTCCAAAAAGCTTCTGAGTAAAGCGGAGCGTTGGGAATAGGAATGCGGAAATGAGAGAAAATAAATGTGGAGTACTTTTTATCATGGTCTCAACCGGTTGGTGTAGACCCTTCACATTGCCTACAGTATGATAACCTTTGGGCATCAAGACACCCAGTGCAAAATGCACTGCACTGTATGTTCAATATGTTGTCAGGAGGGAATAATTTCCATTTATTAGTTGATGGCTACCTTCTACTATTTGCTTTTTAGCTGCTCTAGATTTCTAGGACAATTTCTTGATTTGGTCTTTTGTCTGCAATTGTACTGACGGGCAGCCATAGTTTGCCAACCTGTCGCAGGCAAAAGCTTCGCCTACGAGTTTGAAATAGGGAGGTCTGTTGTTAGAAAGTAACAGTTTTCCTTTTTGCTTTGTTTTGTTCCGTACACAGGTGATTCGGCTCACCTCGGACGAGATCAACCACAAGAAACTGCGGAGCCGTAAACTCCACAACTACACCATCCTGCATTACTCGCCCTTCAAGGCCGTCTGGGACTGGTTCGTGCTGCTCCTGGTCGTGTACACCGCCATCTTCACGCCTTACGCCGCCGCCTTCCTCCTCAACGACGACGAGCGGCGGGCCAAGCTCAACAAGGAGGCCGAGACGCGGGCCGGAGAAGGGCTGTCTTCCAGCTACACCGAGCCGCTGGTCATTCTGGACCTGATCGTGGACATCATGTTCATCGTGGACATCTTCATCAACTTCCGCACCACCTTCATCGACGACGTGAAGGGGGAGGTGGTGTCAGACCCGGCCAAGATCGCTAAGCACTACCTAAAGGGCTGGTTTGTTATCGACGTGCTGGCGGCCATCCCGTTCGATCTGATCCTTTTCGGCTTGGCTAACGATGAGGTGAGTCATCACGAAGCCAAAGCCCGATTCTAATATTACCTGGAGCGGTGGCGTACCTAAGATTTTACTGGGGGCACAAAGGGGGAACCAGCATCTTATGGGGGGCACCAGCTTTCAGTGGTGTGGTTTTTGGGGGCAAGTTTTTGTTAGCCTTGTTCGATATCCGTTCATCCGCTTTTTTTCTTGGGGGGGGGCACCTGGGGGGAACTGAGAACTGGTGGGGGGCTACGGCACTGAACCGGAGTGGCTTCGGCAGTGCCTCGGCATAGCTCGTCCCACCGATCCCCAGATCTCTCTGTGTGCAACCAGCAAAAGCCATTAACATTATTACAACACCTTTGCCACTGGATGACTCACTATTCAAAGAGCATCGATGTAGTTTCTGGGGCCCACAGCTTCGAATCTACTTCCGTTGTTGAACTCAGAAGTTAAAAACTATGGACCATGGCCAGATCACTTGTTTTGTAACCTATCACTCTTCTTTTTTTCCCAATTCCGTCTTTGTCCGGAATTCTCGTCCTAGTCTTTTGGCTGCGGCCTCGAGACTTAATTTTCACGAGTTTAGTCTCATAGGGTGAGACCCTCAGGCCCAACGCTGGTCCATTTCCTGTTACAAGACAAACCAAACTGTCCAATATGAGGCAAGAGATCGCAGCGTTTTCATAGATGCACCAACAAACCTTTAAAATGATATGTAGTTCGAGGTGAAGCCGAAGACGAAAACAGGGCCTTCAAAGAGGTCCTTTTTTTTCGTTTGCGTAAGCGTTCATTTTAATGGTGTGGGTTCTTTGTCGGTACGTCAATTAAGGGTGCATTCGATTGGCTCAAACGAGGCAACCCTGACCGCTGGCTCTGTGTGCTGATCAAATAAGCTAGACAATTGGATGAGACTGAGTTTACTCAGGTCAACTCGTGAATGGAAGCTGGTCGAACGCATGCTAAATTCCTGACAAGTACAGCTTTACGCGTGTGAACGTTGGGCATTACTTGAGCGCTACAAACGGCATTCCTTCCAACTTCAGGTTATGTTGCACACATGCATGGGCCCGATTAGGTTTCTAGTCAACTCAGACCCACACCAACTCGGACCACGTCAAAACGGACCCAACGTCAACTTGGACCCAACGCCAACTGGGACCCAACATGAGGAACATTTCATACAGACCAATGGGAAATTCTACTAAATATTTCTGTTGTTGAATATTGAGTTTATGCACTCGATACAAAGTTGCAGTGAAATTCTAGTTCCAACATTAGGTTTTTTGCTTAACTTTCCATTTTCTTAAATTTAAAATCCTTTAAATTGTGCCCAAAATGAGAAAATATTTAATGTTTTAAGAAATTTGGAGTTGGGTTGCGTATTAAATACAAATTTATTAACACATTTTTTTGCGGAAAAGTAATGCAGGAAATATTTTGAACAAAATAAACAATGATCATTTTCTCATTAAAAGAACTGGTTGAAGAGGTCAGAAATAGCTCAAATCACAGAACAGTGAGTACGTATATAGAACCCACAATATATTGGGGTCCTAAAAAAGGCCCCGAGACCCACGCTGCGGGGGCTTTGTACTTTTATTATTTCAAAGTTTGACTCTTGAGGCTATTAACTGATTTTTTTTTGGTCTGTTTTATTATTTTTTTTAGTCGGACTCGGTGAGTCCGAGTAGGTTCGGGTTGGGCACTAGTTGGCATGGGTTCGGGTTGGTATTGGGTTAGGGTTGGTATTGGGTCCGAGATAGAATGGGTCCGAGTTAGCATGAATCCAGGTTGACTTGTGTCCGAGTTGACCTCATCCACTTGAGGAGACCTGGGGAGGGAAACGAAAGGGGGTCTTAAGGTGGGACTTGATCGCTTGTCTGCTCTTGTTAGTCGCTTACTTATACTGGCGTTTTTGAAAAAGGACAACATCCATTAACGGCGATTTAAAAGTCTTCACGCTGGACACAAAAACGATACCGTCACCAAGTGAAAAAGATTAAAGAAAATCTGTTCAAGTGAACACTTCAGATGTGTCACCCGTCCCTTATTCTGCGTCCTCCTTTGTAGAAAACTACCACAACCATGGGTCTGCTCAAGTCGGCCCGCCTGCTCCGGCTGCTACGCGTGGCCCGCCGCCTGGACCAGTACTCACAGTACGCACCTGCCGTCATCTTCCTGCTGATGTGCGCCTTCACGCTGGTGGCTCACTGGATGGCCTGCTGCTGGTACTCCATTGGGGAGGGGGAACGGGACTTGGACTACGGCTGGCTCAACCAGCTGTCCAGGGACATCAACGAGACATATAGGGTGAGTCTTTGGTCAAGAATCTCAGATAGATCACAGGAGAAACGTGAGTCATTTTGCGGCTCCAAGAAAATTTATTGTTAACCCCAAAATTTAAAATAGCTAATTTCTCCCCGGATCTTCTCACAGACGAGGCGGAATCCGCACCCAGACCTCGATTGTTCCGTAACTGGTATTTTTTCATTCATTTCAGAAATTCATGATAAGTACAGCCCTGCGTCCGAGAAATTTTCTTTCAATCTGACACAGGGTTGTCTTGTGGTAATTATAGTTCGGGCTTCCTCGCTGATGCATTGAGAACATAGTCGAAAAAAGTTGACATTTTTGGAAGATATGTCTTTTAAAGAGAGCACTTCACCTGTAAATAGTATAGAATGTCAGATTTTCATTAAATAAATGCCAAAATGCCCAGAGAATACCAGTAAAAATCCTGAAGGCTCATCATCATAAAAGTGCACTGCATATCAGAAGCTATGCACAGGGGGGCAGATCCCACCGCATAACTTCAAGGGTCAAACATGTTGCATCTTCAGGCCTATTTGACAAGTGGTTCATTCTCAGTGCGTGGAGGCGTGGGTTAAAACTGCGAGATTTTACGGGTTTTTTTTTTGTTTGTTTGTTTGTTTGATAAACATTCCGCTTGAATCACAGCACCAGGCCTTCTAACTTGAGAAAGTGGTGTATATACATCCTTCCACTGCACGCAAGAAGCAGTTCTTTTTTTTCTCTTATATTCATAACACCTGACGATTACCACCTTTTCGCTCTCTATAAAAATCACATCCGCTGCAGGTTAATTCCAAAGTCTCACCCCGACAGAAATAATGTAAAGCGAGTGTGCGAGACTGCTTGAAGCAGTTGGACTACCGTCATCGTGACACTAGGCTTTGAGGTGTTTATTATCGGAGGCTGTGTTGTTGATCGCATGAATCACACCACGACATACAACTCAGTTGTCAGGGATATTTTCAGAGCGGACACTAGATGTAATGTTAGACCAACTACGGAAATCTATCGATTGTGCATGATAATCATGATCTAGTCATGATTAGCCCTTCATTTTCAGCACTTTTGAATGTGAGTCGCAGTGGCTCATGTGATATTTCGGCATAGGGGATCCCGTCTAGATAATTATGACCCGTAATAAGTATAATGCACTTCGTCTCTGGTAACCTGACTCAACGCATGAAAGCTCAACAGAGAGCAGTTTTTACTCGAGTTGTCCATAGATGTCATCCTGATTCCCGCAAGAGCGACTCGTCCAAAAAGGGTTCAAGTTTAGTTCTCAAAATCAGCAGTGAAACATATGTTTTATATGCCAAATATTAAAATCATATCCACACTTCCATTGCAAATTTAGTCAGCATGTTGGCTAAATTTACTGCCCGTAGGCTCTGTTGCGGTTGACTGGTGTGGTATTGTGCTCACGTGTCCCAGATTAGTGAAACAAAAGTCTGCACACATGCAAGAGAACAACGGAATGCTTGATCATCCATTGTGGGATTAGAAATGTGCCACACGTCGTCCCCAACGCTCCAGCAGAGTTTGTCTGTTGTGAACCAACGTGTGCCCAAGGAACCCTAGTCGTTCTTGGAAAAGACCCTGTGCAACCTCTCCTCCATTATCAACCCATCATTGTTGTGCCAGCAGCATAACGCATGCTCGGAATAACTTCAAACATTCTCGATCATTTTAGACAATCGGGAGCAAATCTGTGCCACCCTTGGGGCATATGAGTCTGACAATTAGAGACAGCCGAGATATTATATCCGGTGCTGGGGCAGCTGCAGAGTTTCGTATTCGTCTAGACTCTCTTTAGCGGCAAATGAAATTACGGCCGTGTAGCCTACTGAGGTAACCAAAGTTATCGTGCGTTGACATGCACTTGTTTATTGTCTGTCCATGGTCTGTCCATCAACTCTTAGTACATGGCTGCATACTCTCTTGTGGTGTTCCAAGCGGGTGTCCAGACGTCAGTTAAAATCTACGTGCAGGACACGCTGGTTCGCGTACGCGGTTGGCACACTGCACGTGCCACTTATTTTCATTGGAATGATGGCGCGAAAGTGGTCAGCTGTCCCCTCTATCCGTCACTGAAGAGTGTGGAATTGTACCCGGATTGAAAGTCTCTTTAAAAAGGAAAGTGCAATGTAACAGAATCTGCAGTTACCAAGCACTGGGGCCATCTGGAAATTTAAGAAACGGCATCTTTATGCCTTAGGAAAGAGAAAGCTAAGCCGTTTACTCGCCGGTTCTGTACGTCGATACCGCCCAAACTATTGGGTCGAGCCCGGTCGATCGGCCGACACGAAAAATCCATTAGCGGTTTGGCACCCGACAGCGTGGCTTGACACATTCCCTGATAGATCTGACATTTCAGCCCCGCGCGAGAAAGATTTTCCAAAAGAGAGAGCGACCTAAGGGCATAAAAGACAAATATGAAAATAAAGGGGGAAAGGAATAAAAAAAGAACACAAAGAGTGTACCAAGATGAGCACGTCGCCAGCATCTCCAGGGGAATTGGAGCGACGCAGGGCTGGTGAAGGAGAAAGACCTAAATGCATGTAGAATGACAGATGGGATGCGACGGTAAGGTCCGGTCGCCGTCATTCCTCAAGAGGGCATCGTGGTCTCCCCCCCCCCTTTGTGGCTAAAGGAAAGGCCGATTCTGTCTTGTTTTCTTTTTTTTCATCTACAGAGACATGTTGATTTTATTGCAAGGGCCCCAAACTGAGCAGAAGCCAGGGTTTAAGGTTCATTCACTGACGTTTGTGGGTTCTGTCCAGAATTCATTGACCCGTAATTACACTGGCATTCTTGAACTACACTTCTTTTATTCTTTCTTCCAACTTCAAGGGCCTCTAGTGCGCGCCCTGATGGTTCACTTTTGAAGAAACAGTAAGCCCCAGCGATTGATGACACACTGCGCTGCTATCTCCATAAACGAAGCAAAATGCTGGCAGTATCAACGTGGTCACATAACTCCCTGCATTTTTCCCTATCGGCAACTTTGTGGAAGCTGGCACTTTAGCAGAGGTTTTCCACCTCGCCTTTCAGTTTGGCTGACAAGCACCTGCAAGTTACGTACACTTCAAACAGCTTAAACAAACACAACACCGTGATATAGCGAACACAAATACGCCTAGGTTGGCCGGTGTTGATACACCGGCTACAAGAAGAATATTCCACAGGTGATGTACCAGGGACAGGACGCCTCTCCGAGACCCCAGGTCTGGGCCTAATCACTGTTGACGGAAATACAGACCAGAGGCAGCGAGTTGAGGCCCGTTGTTCTAAAAGCAATTGAAGGCTGTGATTGCCAAGGCTAGTTTGGTGCCACGTACATTATGTAGGATTGTCGGGGGATGCATTATCATGCAAAGAGTGTACCACCTCATATTCAACCAAGGGCAATGCTCTCTTGTGGAAGAATACCAACGAATTTAATTTCTTACACGCTGTGCTTTTTGAAATGCGCTGCATTGCGTTGCGGAACGCTGTGTCACGGTGCTGTGTCGGGTGTTGTGTTATGTTCTAGTCCAGTCCGATCTGAGTTTAGGTTTGGTTGTGGTTTGGTTGTGTTTGTTTTCTGGTTTTAGAGAGGAGAGTAGCATTTTTGTGTCACGGCAACGGCTCCTGTCAACCGGTCTGGCTACTAGCATTCCGGGCCTACTACCTGAATCGGAATTATCACACGACGAGCAGGGAGACCACTCTGCGAGAATCAAGCACCCAGGCGAAAACAAACGCACTCACGTGCTGACGTTGGAAGAGAGACCCGACATCTCTAGACAAGGAAAACAGACAAACAGAATCTGCTGGCCAGGGATGATTACTGGGTAAGGTGAGCGAACGGGCAACCGACGAGCAGGCAAGCAGGTGAAAACGTGCTGTCTGTTTAGCAAGCCAGCCACCAATCTACTCGAGTTGATCCGCAGACATGAAAATGAGCACCGCCCGCATATCCCTGGGACTTATATCGCGTGTAATTAAGAAGGCAATGTTGACTCAAGTCACGGTCAAGTGGAAACCCATTTCACGTTTGGTTACCTCGCCCAGCGGGGCCAAGTGCCTCAATCGACGCCGGCAAGGGGCTCCATTTTCCCCTCTACCCTATCTCCATCTTCCTCCCACCCCGTGGGTCCTGGATTCTCTTTTCGCTAAATTGAACGTGCACTAGTGCCCAGTAACAAGATTACACGTAAACCAATTACAGACCCAGCCGAGTGAATATTATTACATAGATGTAGGTATATTTTACGGTGTGCGTGTGGAAGAAGTGCTGGGCTGGAATTGAGTAAACCGGAGCAGAGTGATCGCCTCCACAAGTTCCCCTGGCGATGAGCACTACTTTAACGGTCAGAGCCTCTTACATTAGACTTGCGTTGGTCTTTTACCAATCAAAAGCTGACACGCATTAATGTGGGCGCTGTCAGACGCATGTGCACAGAGCTATACACAGAGAAAGTAGGGCCATCTTCAGACTTGGAACCTAAATGGCTGTCCACGTAAACTGACGCGTAATCCACCAGTTGGGTTCCAAGACTTACGACACTCATGTCACAACTCTTTCTATGAACAGCTCTGCATGTGCACAGGAATCAGAAGAAAGAGCTGCTGGAGTTAGCAATACCTGAACACTATCTCCTCATACCGACTTGACAGCGCACCCTGTACAGCTATTTCTGCTGTTGACAGATACGGATCGCCACTTTTCAATGGGCGGCCAAGGTTTGCAGAAAGCTTGCCATCGGTTGGCAACAGCTTCTGTCTTACAATGCAAATTTTCCTTCGACGTTGTTAACGCATCTGACATTTTTGTTAGTTTTTAACAAAAATAGAAATAGAAATATTCAGCATTTGGTTTAGTAATATTTACACGAGATTTGGGGATTAATTCCTTTGGTTTGGTTTTGTACTCTCGGCCAGCTGTATAATTTTGACTGCTACTGGCTGGGGAAGATGTGCTTATGACATTGCAAATGAAATGTCATTATCTCTGT